AAAGAATAATCAAGATGCAATTAACGGAAGGATTTTTGCCATGGGTACTTTCTAGGGGGAGAGACTGAACAATTGAACAGGATCCGCAGACCCCAGGATGGACGGGCAAGGGCGCAGCGTGGGAGCGGAGGATGAGGCGAGTTCCACAGGGGTGACACTGGGAAGTGAAGAGTAGTCGGTGTTTTAAATGTTGCTTTGCCGGCCTTGGGCAGGGACTATGCCATGCTCACTAGCCCACACTGCTGTGGTTTGAGCTTCTGAAGGAGAAGGCTCCCCAAACCACGGGGTAATTATTGTTGCAGGCCTGGGTAGGGAGCAAAGTCATCCTGGAGGGAGATCGGAGGTACTACCAGCTTCTCTGAAGACTCTCTGCTCCCGTTATGAGCTGTTCCATCAATATCCCTTCTGGGATGAATAACATACACTATGCGCGGGAAATTTCAGCTACTAATGTGGCTTGCAAAGCCACGTCGCTGGTCTCCATCCTCAGGTTGCTCCTCGGTCACTTTGCACAGCTTTCCTCTGCCTTTGGTCCGCAAGGCGACACGGACACAGACCTGCAGAGCCCTCCTGCCTCGCACCGACACGCTAATTCTGAGCTGGTCTGAAGAAATAGGGTGATTGAGCTGGACGGAGCTCAAGCTTTCCAAGGCGCAGCTTTGCTTCAGGCCTAAGCCTCCAGAACTCCGGAGTCAAGAATAGAAAAGCGTGGTTTTTGCAAAGCTAAAGGACTTCATCCAGCGAGGGCGGCGGCATGGCACGGCACGGCACGCGAAGGGCAGAGCTCCAGGGCTGCTGCTCGTCACAGGGCAAAGGAAAACTCTTGAGTGTCTCCAATTTCCTCTGCTCTCGCTGCTCTAATGAGCCATCTGGTCTGCAAACACACAACCCTTCCTCGCTGCAGCGTCCAGCGCCGCAGCGCTTTCTGCAACCGCAACCACCACGGTTGTAAAGCACAAATAAAGGAAAGTCAGGAAAATCCATGACCGGCCAATTTAAGATTGCCTTTTCCATTTCACAGACCCACAAATCAAGCAACTCATGCATAGGCTTCAAAACAATAACAGGGTCAATTTTTCTTCTTCATATATAAAGGGAGGGCTAATGACCATGATACATTTAGACCAATTAATCACTTCCCATTATAAAGGTTCAGTGATTTTTCTGAGGTGTAACACCTTGAAGTCATGCTGTAGAGAAATGGGGAAAATTGACTTTCTCTTTACTTAATAAAATTCCACACTGAGCACTTGTCATAACACAAAGTGTTGATTAAAAAAAAAAAAAAAAAAAAAGTTGGCTGCACAGGCTAAACTGGGCAGCCAGTAAGCCAACAACTGGGAGGTGCTGGCTTCAAACTTCCACCTTGCCTCAAGCTGTACTACAGCATCAGTGCTCCAGATTCAAACTTTGCCAACGATGAGTTACGAGGAGGAATGGTTAATTCTGTACTTAGAGTGCTTTTGAACACGTTTCCTCCTTGTAATAGTAATTTAGAAAATTAAAGGCACTTTAGAAAAATTTAAGCCACAAGATGAGGCACTGAAACAGTAAATGTCACAGTTCAAGCTTGCCTTTGCCTTGGTAATGCACATGCACTTGGCAACCAGAGTCTGACAGAGCAGAGAAAGGGTTCTGCTCCTATTTTTTCCTGCCAGAGCAGGGAGGTGCTCGGTGTTCAAAGGGGGATACTGGGGTCTGTGAGCCCAGAAAAGCAAAGCGTACAGCTCCACGGTTTTCGGCTGGTCACCAACTGCGTGTCTTCGTCTGTTGAGGCTGAGGTTGAGGCCGGGAGGTGGCCGGGTTGGGCATTTAACCACCAGCCCCAACACCCGGAGCAGCTACAGGCGCTCGCTGCCTCGGGCGCGGGGGCAACGCTGAGCCCGGGGCCGCCGTGGGGGGAAAATGGTTTTATATAACCTGCAAGATGCCTCTGCTGGCTGAATTTGCAAATCTCTCCACTTTTGTTATCTCAAAGTTTTTTCTCCACAAGGAACGGTGTCTTAATAGCTGGCACAAAAGCAGCAGCAGCAAATTGACCCTGAATTGAGAAGTGCTTCAGCCCGAAAGCACTTTACACTTTTCTGTTAAATGAGGAACCTCTTTAATGTGTTTGACATAAGCAAAACCCTTCCTGTCCTCAGATGATGCCAGCACAGAAAAAAAAAAAAATTGATATAAGTACTGATTAAGAAAGAAAGTACCCAATAATCAGTCCTGACCGCAGAAACACTTGACAATGGAACTCAAATCACCTGATATCAAAGAACCACACCATCAGATTTACAGGGAAAGGGGGAAAAGAAGGGCCAAAGGCTTTGACGATTCGTCGGCAGAGCTGCTGCCGAGCAGAGATATGTAAAGAAATCAGTGTGATGAGAAAAAGCCTTCCCGGCTTTGGATCCTCATGCTCTCGCTTATGTTTATTCTGCATTTTTAAGTGCCTGGAGAAATGAGGAGGCACTTTCAAATGTAAATGCGAAAAAGTAAATAAATACCAAACGCCTAATTTAGCATTACTGCATCTCTGACTTAGAGATAAATGGAACTGCACAATGTAATCCATTATCATGCATTTTTTTCCTTTATCTTTCTACTAAATAACTTTTAAATATAGTTTCTTCAAATTTTTGACATGTATTTCCACATTCCTTCCGACATCATTTTTTTCTATTTTATGAAAGCATTGCTATGAGAAAGAAAGAGATTAGAAATACTATCACATCACTGTGATTTGTACAAATTAATTCTTTGTTAGCTTTTCCATTACATACGTGCCTCCCCCCCACAAAACATGCACACCTGCCCTCAGTCCACGAACAAAAACCTGAATTAAATTAAAAGAACTCGAACCCGCACACGTTAAAATGAGCAAACCTCACTCTTAGTCGTCCCCAGCACCAAACCTGCCACACAGGTCAGACCCCAACAGACCCCCCCTGCTGCCCCACGCGTGGCCAGCCCGGCCAGCAGGACCACCAGCCACATCCTACCCAGAGCCGCGGGCTGCAGAGAGCCAGCGGTGATGCTCACGCCACCAGCCACCGCCCGTCCCAACCCCGCCGGCAGCTCTCGGCTGGGTTTTGCACGTGGTGCTGAGGAGATTTCCTTCTCCCCTCCCTGAAAAATTCAAGGGTGACAATTGCTTTCCCTCAAGAAGCTTCCTATTAACAAATACACTTATTTTTCCTCTTTTAAATGATCTCCAGTCTCTTCCAGCGTTGCCTGCACAGAAGGCCACTGCCTCGGGAAGGACCGCTGTCATCTCTGAGCTACACCCCAAAACCACCGCTGAAACAACATCAGCAGCACTTAGACCGAGAAATTTCATTAGCCAAGCTAAAAAGAATTCAGTAGCCAATTTAGGAAAATTAATAAAAGTAAAAGCACTACTTTAAATGTTTTATAACCTTCTGTGGATAATCTGGGAAGCAGAAATTCCCCTGATGTTATTCAAAGATGGGAGGAACAGCAGAAATAACTATTTCCAACCCAGCCTTGCCCATTCACGTTCACCCCAATCCAAAAGTATTCACAATACAGGTCTTCATTTCAGCCCAGCTAATAAAAAAAAAAAAAAAAAGTCCTCAAGTAATAATTTAGTCACCTGGAAGGCCATACTTCATGGGTACTTTGGCAATTTTGAGATCAGCGTCATTGGTGCTTATTCTCCCACTTTTTAAGTGGATGGTTTAATTAAAACTTCAAAATGAAATTTTTTAGGGGTTGAGAAAAGTGACGTTTTGTATAAAAATTAAGGGGAGACTTAAATACTCGGGTTAAAAAGTACTCAGGACCCACCCTGGAATTTTGACTGTGGAAGATGTTGCACTATTTTCACAACACGGAAAAGTCCAGAAGTTCATCATTAAAACAAAGGTACAGGGCAAAGCTCATGACACGCAACACTCCCACCTTCTGAAAGCAACAGCCTGAGTATCTGCGGGACGCTGCACAACAACTGCATTTTGATTTCGTTGTTCTGTTTGCAGCTGCCATTAAATAATGAAGAATAAGAAAGTGCAACAGCGAGAAGACACGTACTATTTATAGGGATCAGAATAAACCCGGCAATTAAGAGCAGACGGCTGAGTTCTTGTAGATATTACCTGCAAGGGTGCTCCTGCCAAAGCATCCCTTCCTTTGCACAGGTAAAACTGGCCATTGTTTTGCACAGGCACTGAGGCACAGTCCCTACGCCTCGAAATCCAAACCTGTGCACCCGTATTTCAAAGGTGTCTTTCACCTTGAGCCACAAAAAAAGGAAAAAGTACATATACTCTAGAGTTTATACAGAAACCAGTCATAGCTTACCTCACCTAGGGTCGAGGATACTAGTCCCTTTTTGGTGCTTTGTCATGCTGGAATCTAATACAATTAAAAAATAGATCTATTAAACTGAAGATTTTATTCGCTGGGAAATGATGATATTTATGGACAGGCCAGAAGGCACTGCAAAAAAGCAGACTGCTGAAATTTATTTTTTTTTTAAATAATGAGATCTATTTCATTTCAAGTGATTGACTTCTGTTACCAGGTCTTAAGGAACACAGCCAGTAAACTGAGAACGGTGAGGAGAAACTTTCCTCAGGTCTTGTTTTTATCTACATACATGAGTGGTGTAACACTTGTTCTTTGTTAAAAAAAAAAAAATCCAAACAGCATCTGCGACAACTTTGAGGAATCAAAATATCTACGTGACGCAACCTACCTACCACTGACCGCTTCTACGGCACGGACGAGGCGTCCACGCCAACATACACAGATGTTTCTAAGCCTCCTTCCCCCCATTACTGGCCAAAACCTGGTCTAAGTGAACAACGACCTTCCTGAAGAGCCCTTTGGGTGCGTTCACCCTCAAACCTTTCAGCCAGCGGCTGTCGGGAGCTGAACCGCATCATTTTTCTCGCAAAGAAAAATTTTTCCTCCTTTGGGGAGGCAGGAGGCAGCGTCGCCTGGGTTATGGGAGTGGGGAGGGGATGGGTGCCCCGGGCACAGACCTTGCTGGAGCAGCGGGTGGTGGAAGGCCGGCACGGGGAGGCTCCTCGTCCTCGCTGGCTCACAGAAGTAGGCGCACAGCCAGGCCGTGCACTGCTTCAGTGCCTCCGTCAGCTCCTCGGCGCCTTCGCACACCTCGCACGTTGCCGGGGACTCCCCCCTGCTGCGAGAGAGAGGAGGGGAAAATTATAATGAGACAGATGACAAAAATGAATAATCATACTCTACACGTTAGCAAAAAAAAATAAAAAATCTCAAAATATTCAATCTGGAGTCAGACTCCGTCTTTTTTCTAAAGGTGAAAAGATTCACAACAGCAGTAACAAAAAGCATCCCATCACCTCTAGAAATGCAATCACCTGTAAAAAATTCATAAAAGATTGGTGAGAGGGAAACGCCACGTGTAAGTGAGAGATGTCAGGGAGCAAGAAAACCACCCAAGCCCACGGCAGATGACGCATCCTCGTGCTTGCAGGGTGGATGGAGGTGAGGCTCCTCCTCCACGTCTCCCAAGGGTGCAGTCCCGTCCCCCCCAGGGATGTTCCCGGGGGAAAGGAGGAAAGGAAGCGGTTTTCTGCCGAACCCATGCCTTCCTCTGCCCCCTTTCCCTCCAGTGACGGTGGCAGGTTTCTGCTTTCCTCCACTTATTGAATTGGAAGGAAGCAATTGAGAATTCATTTGATTTTCAATGGCAGCTCGTGCTTGCAGGGTACTGAAGAGCAAAGCAAGTGAACAAAAAGCACCTGCAAACAAAAACGTAGTTCTTCCTTTACTGCTTTTTTCTTCCCTTTCCTCTGGAAGTGCAATGTGTGTGTCCGAGACAGGTGAAAATGTGACCACTGGATTTGCAAATCTCCAGCCCTGTTTCCCAATCTGTATGTTTCCAGCGAGGCAAAGCAGCGGAGGCGAAGGGGTGGTGGTGATGCCCTCCTGGTGCTTTACAAGATCGTGGTGTGGTGGGTGTCTCTCCAAACTGCAGAGACCAGCTTCAGGGTCCTGACAAACAATCAGAGCCCACGAGGAACGCTCCTGAGAGACAGGATAGAGGGACTGAGAAGGAGGCATCATCAGGGGTGGCTGCCAAAACAGCAAGCCGTGCCAGCCACCTTCTCACATCCAGAATCTTAATCCCACATGAGCCGTCCTTAAGGTCTTCTGATTATTGCAAGGTTTTTTTTCCCCCAGCTGGAAGTACAGCCAGACCCCAGAACAAGAAGTTTATCAACAGCGTGCTGCTGAAACTCAACAGCATAGACTTCTGGTGAGAGGTTGGATGCGATGCAGAGCAGGAGAAAGGAGAGAAAATTATAGAAATATCAACATATACAAGAACCTGAGACAAGGGGAAAAAAAAAACAAAACAAAACAAAAGAAAACCAGAGCATTTCTGCCACCCAGGTATGGGGAAAGAGCAAACCGACACAAATTCTCCAGGACAATTGCTGCAAGTGAGCAAAAAAATTTTGTTAGTTCCCTCCTAGCAGAAAGCAGAAGAAAATGAAGCGTCTGATCTACCAGTAATGGCATAAAAGAGACCAGGTCTGCTTTTGCCACAAGGCACCTTTGCAAAAGGAGCGAAGGCCTTCACAGCCTTGATCCACAACAGCTCGTGGAGCCCAACTCGACGGGACGTCGGTGTAATCAGACACCAGCCCTGGCGCTGCCTCTGGACAGGATAAATGATGTGCAGGCGGGAGCTGGGTCGGGGTTACTCTCAGAAGCGAAGCCCTCACTCGCCTGGTGCATGATCAAACAGCCCTGCCATCTCCCCCAGCCCCAATTCATTTTCTGATTAATTGTTAACCACTGAAGGCCACGTAATTACTGATTAGAAAGTGGCAGAGAAGAAGAGGGATACGGAGGTGGACAATTAAAACACTCCGGTCGCACAAGAATACGAGTTGATGGCTTGGAGCAGAAGCAAAACAAAAATGTTTGGATCCGTTTTGCTAGGAATTAAGTGCAATTTCTTAATTAATTAAGAAATGAATGCTTTCGATTTTTCTTTTGTGTGTGTGTGTGTGTGTGCGTGAAGTCGTATCAGTTTGCTTTCTAAAACTAGTGTCTAAGTTATTATGTTATTTAATAATCTCTTTGCTAAAAAAAAAAAAAAAAAAAAAAAAAAAAAAGGTATGAGAATCTCTGCATTAACTTTTTTTTTTTTTTGTGTGAATACCGATGATGTGGACCTCAACCCAAGCTCTCAACACCACAGATAATCCGTTATTCTGCACATGTACAACACTCTGCAGAATATGGCTCAGTTTTACTGTGGATTGTTAGAGCTACGACAATATAATAACTACAGAATATAATAATGCCTCTGAAATCTCAAAGAGAAGTTGGTAGACTTTTCTGCTCCATTTACCCAGAAGAGCATAGAAAGCACTCAAAACTACAGTAACCTTATGTTTTTCACATCATCTTGTTTCACGTTCTCGGGAGTCTGGAAATGATTTGGACTGTAATATCATCATAAAACCAAAAGACTTTGTCTCCTCACTGCTCCGCAAGCAAGCAGCCCCCCGCAGCTGGGCTCCCGGCTCTGCCTCCGACCGTCCCAGCCTGACCACTGCCAGACACGCACCAGAATTTCTTCCCGGCTCCAGAAAGGCACCAAAATACCATCGTTCTTCCCCAGAACAGGTGGGGAGCAGCACGGCAGCTATCGGCGAGGTGCTGCTGAGGCTGGCGCCTGGGCTGCTCGGGGCTTTGCCTGAAGCCTCAAGGCAACCGTCAGGCCATTAGCTCCATGTTCAGTATAGAGAATCGAATAAAGGTTCATTAATATCTTTAAGACGACACAAATTACGTCAGCTCTTTGCCTGCCTGTGGAGCTGGGAGGGTGCAGGAACCTGCTGCATAGCGCAGCAAGGCTCAGCCAGCCCCCTGCCACCACATACACACTCCTCACTTCCACCAGGTCCTCCCTGGTAGGAAGTCTTAATTATTTTTTTTTTTTTTTTTAATTACTGCTTTTAACAACAGTGCCTTGCCACTGCTGAACATCTCTAGATGGTTTTGGTGAGGCCATTCTCCAAACACTTCAACACCAGGCACCATCACAGTCTCCACGGCCACCTCCACCTCGGCCAAGAAAGCAAAAACGTTGCAAAATGAAAATGAATTGCTTTCTAAGAAGGCACTGACTTCTTTTCCTGTAGGATACAAAGTCAATTTGCCAACATATATGCTGAGAGCTTCAAGTTGGCAGAAAGTTAAAAAAAATAGAAAAAAAAAATCTTCGTATTAATTTTGCTTGGCTAGAAATGCTAACAACTATTCCTGGGAATTTGACAGCATTAATAAAGAAAAAGAACGAACGTAACTTATGCATGGATGTCTTCCACTGGCCCCGCTCCCCTCCCTTCCCTCCTCCCCCCCCTTTCCCTTTCTGAAGTTACATAGCAGCACTCCTTCTACAAACTACCTCATCATTAAAAATTCAACTTAAAACACCAGCTGCCTTTTAAAGGATTTTCTCAGGCTTCAAAGCCACGTTTTGGTCCAACTAGACCATACGTGTGTTTCAAAAAGCAACTCAAAAGTGGTCGCAAAATATTCACAAGAAGAAAAGGAGAGCAGATGAGTTACATCATGGGAAATTCCCACCCCCCCTGCCGTGTGAAATTCCTCTGCTCAGCATTAGACTTCTTGGAAGGTTTCTGAACACCCTACTCCATGCGTTGGTCTTTGAGTATCTCTAATGTTAAGCTGGACAGGAAGAAGTTGGTTGTATGCCATCAGGGGAAAACACCCATCTACGAGTCATGTTAAGTATTTCTGCCTAATCTTTAGCAACCAACGACAAGAAAAAGGGGACCCTCTTCTCTTCATGTCCTGCCCTCAGTGATCGCGCGGAAGGGGCTTGCTCCTGGCCGTAGAGCCACAAGCAGCACCCGAGGCGATGGCCATTCATTATATGCTTTACCTACGGTAATTCTACCCGTGATTCAACAAGAGGTAGCTTTTATACAGGAAAATAAAATAAACATATTCATCTAAAAATGCAAGAAACTAAATGGTGCAAGAAATCTGACTGCTTTACTTTTGCCCTGGAGAATTTAATTATCTTTCCTTAAAAAGTACCAACTTTTTTTTTTTTTTCACCATGTGGCTGGAATAATGCGAAGCATTTATTTTAAAAGCAGTGGTCTTATTTAAACCCCTTACACTTTCACTGGGTTCTGTCATTGCACTCGTTTTCATTAGTGAATTGTGTTGGGTGCTCCCTGCATCTCAAAAAATTCGAAGTGGAGATTTTTGTAATTTCACTTGGCCAACAAGGAATCATCACTGTAGGGGTTTTAGGTTGTTGTTTTGCCTTTTTTTTTTTTTTTTTTAACGGACACTTTTTTTGTTTGTATTAACATGCCAGCTCTAACATGCGTGCAGTCTGTCTGAACTTTACGGTGATGTTAAATGGATAATTCAGCTGCAAGTGACTGCCTCATCTACAGCTTTACAATGTGATGCTTAATTAAGACTACATACGCCTCAGAAAAAAAAAAAGTTTAAGTTATAAAAAGCAGACATCTAAAAATATATCCTTTTTTTTTTTTTAAAGTTGGATGTTTCTCAAAATGAGACTTTTTTTCAGGCCAGGGAAGGACTGGTGCTGCTGCAGACCGCCAGCCTGGGCACTCAGCTCTTGGTGGTGGCCAAGTCCAAGGGAGATGTAAGCTCAGTCCCAGCACGGGAACCCACCACAGCCCCAGCACCGACCTGCTGGGCAGCTGTTCCACACCCTTCTTACTGCAAACCTACGTATTTATTTCCATTACAGCCCTTTTTTAAGACTGACCAACCTGAGGATGGCAGCGGGCTCTGGCCTCCCCGCAGCTCAGAGGTGCCTTCCCGAGGCTCCATCCCAGCCTCGTCCCTTCGCTGACTTCTTACGTTTACAGGGGATGAAATGAAGGAAAAGATGGTTTTAGCAGAGGGGGAGAAAAGCAGAACCACCACCTGTTTCAGTTTAACAGGCTCCTTCCAAACCACTTGCCAAGAACTGGAAGTTTCTAACGTGCTTCCAAAATAAACATGTAAGCAGCAGATTGGCTTCAGTATCATCCTAAATAGCTTAACCATGATGAAAACCAGAGAAATGCTGTGAGAAGCCTCAGTGGGTAGCCATGTTCTAAACTGGGATGATTTTAATTATTT